TCCGATAAAGCCAAAGCTCGAGAAGTACCTTTTTTTTTCCTCTTTTGTTTACCCTTTCCTCTCCGTTTGGTCGCCGAGAAAATGCATGAGCAGAAAAAGAAAACCGAAAATGAAATTGAACTTTGTGATATAATCGCTTTCAGATTGGATTAGCAAATGTCAAAACAGGAACAAATTAGGGCATTATTCAGCTTGGAAAGTCGCGTATGGCTATTCCTGATTGATGATATAAAATGATGAAATGAATTAAGTAGAAGAAGAGCTGTTTAATTTCAACTAAGCGAAACGAAAACTACGTGCGCGTTTGTTGTTTTTGTTCGTTAACTGGAGCAATGAATTCCAATGCCTAATTTACAATAATTTCTTGTTATAGAAATTCCGTTTGTGCTTCTTGTTTTGGTCTGAAGTTCGTATGGTTGATTTAGAATTGAGCTGTGTTTCCAATTCGGTTGTACTTTTTTCATTCCAAACTTAATTTTCCTCGGCGGCCAGATGTTTTTTTTTCGTTTTAATATTTTTGCAAGAAAAAGCTTTTTTGATTTTGTAGTATAATACATATTCGTTTCTGATTTGGTTTTACTTTCATAGGAAGGGATAAAGCTGTTGAATACATGGTTGGAAGGAGAGAGGTCTATCGCCTTTTGCAAATTTCTTGGAAAAAACACGGCAAAGCTTAACCCGAATGACATTCGTCATTGTAAGATGAAAGTTTGAGCATCATGCATTCAATCCGTCGAAATGGAGTTTTTGTTTTGTTTTGTTTTGTTTTGTGTTTGTTTTTTTTAGTATTGTCAAGTAAATTGGTTTTTATTTATTTCTTAATTAATTAATTAATTAATTTATTTTTAATTGCTGCAGCTGAAACATGGCCTTTTCTTATCACTATGCTAATTCAATGTGTTTCATTGGAGATATCTTCGAGCAAGCGGCGATTGCCAAAGTTGATATTCGCAAAGACTCTCCGGATTGTGGTGCAACGAGCGCAAGATTCTAAGTTCTCTGGTATTTATCGACTTAATTTGTGTTTTATGATAGTTCATTCTTGTTAAGTTTGTCATAGGAGAGGAAATGTATATGTTACCCATTTTAATATTTTGGGGCAATGGAGTAAAGAGCTCCTATGCACCGGATCTTTCTTTTAAATAGATACAGGCTCGGTAATTTATTTTGCAATTGAATTTTAAATGCATTAGATCTTATCAAATTCTTTTAAGACTTGGTTAAAACACTTAATCTAGTGGTTGAAACTTATGTTTATTTGTTTATTATTATTGAGGCGTAAATGGTTAGGTGAAAACAAATGAAAGCTAATAGAGAGCGGATAAAATATTGATCTGATACGTTGTTAACTTTCTTTGAAACAAAAAAAAAAAAAACAAAAAAAAGAGAACTTTCATTTTAAACATTAGACAATCCTTGTGTAACTTAGGCTTCTTTCATTTCACCGATTCGAGTTTTCAGTTTTAGGTTTTTACAGTAAAAAGCTCTCAGAAAATGTCACATCTAACTTTTTCTGCTACAGTGAAAAGCTCTGAAAATGTCACATCTCAACTCGAATTGAAAGCTCGAATCTGTGAAGTGAACGAGGCCTTAGAAAACGTGTGCACTAGCAGCCATAACTCATGTTCTCAATTATCAAAAAAAAAAAGTTCAAAAAATTTAAGTTCTCATTTTTCCCTACAGAAGACCAAACAAGCTTCATAGTTTACTCTTTTCTTTTTTTCCCTGACATTTTGCTTTCTTCTACTATCTCTTTCTGTATTTGTCCTTTTCTCTTTTTAGCCTGCAACGTCTTCCTCCCTATTGCCTCCTTTCAGCTGTACAATTAGTCCCTATCTTTAAGTAGAATTCAACACGTATACTACCTTTTTATTTTTCTCTCCAAAACTTTGATCTCATTCTTTCTGAAAATTTAGTGACTGATTTGTCATTTTATTTTTAGTTTCCAAAAGTATCATACTGTGATCATTAAACTTATATCTAAACGGACGAAATCTCTCTTTTTATTAACTATTCTAGCTATGAACTGAAATCACTATTTCTTCATAGCTTTGTGGCAGATAAAATATGCATACAAATGCCAGGCATTATGTACAACTAGTACGTATGTGTGTTTGTGTCTGCGCATGTATCCAGAAATTGTTCTTAAATACTCTATGATTATCGTAAGTTTCTTTTCATTGTCATTTCAGGTAAGATGCTGCCTTTACTCTCTGTGGTTAAACACCTTTTTAATCACATATGGGATGTCTTGAGCGATGTCCCAAGCTTTCGGTCGGAATATGGGGTTATTCTCCGGCATCTTTTGACTGTCAATGATTATCGTTTCCACATGAGGAAGCGTATATATTCTAGTGAGTATTCACTTAGCTAAACCAGAGCTCATTTCTCGTCACATGTTAACTGGTGGCATCATGGCCCAGTTTTCTCATACATAGCTTACTTCCTCTTGGTTAGATCTCGTTCTTCTCTATATGGGTAAGGTGGAATCAAGCTTAGATGGCAGAAATGATAATTCATATAATCCTAGGGAGGAGGTCTTTCGCTGCATTCTAACGCTCCAGTCCCTCTTGGAGAATCCACCTGGAGATTTCTTGAATAATCTCAGAGAAAACATTGTTAAGGGGTTTGTAGGGATTTTCTCTTATGTTAGGTAAGTGATAACTTGTGCTTGCATTTCTTTCTTTCTTCTATCTCTGTGCACCAAATGACGTATTTGTTTTGTTTTTGGATAACAAGAAAACATTTTGTCACTTTTTTCAGGTTTGAAGACAAGCTTTCACGCAAGCTTATCGAGTGCATCAATAAATACTTGTTGAAAGATGGTCCCAACTTAGGTCATCATTCCATGGAGATCCATGGTGCTGTACAGCAATTTGTGTTTCGTTGTTGGCTAACAACACACGACCGCGCTCTTAAGGTTTTCTAGCAGCATTTAAAGCAACATTTTTCTGGATTTTTTTTTGTTATTAATAACGTGCTAATTGTATGTTGCGAATGCATTTGCATATACACATGTTTACCATGTTATGGATTTTTTGTTGGCAGGATGCACTTATTTTGTATGCAAGGTTACAATTAAATTTGACAAGAGGTGCTACTGATGGGAATATCTTGGTAGAACAACTCCTTGACATAGTCTGCAAGGAACTAGATCAAAGCATTTCATCTGGTGGTAGTTTGCCCTGGTTGGTGTTCCCTTAGTTTCTCAATTTATTTTCCAAGTGTGTTCTTGGTGATGGTTGTTTGGCCATGCTAGTAGTTGCTTATTTTATTATCTATTTATACAGGGTTGACGCATCTAAGGATGAAAAATTTGGAGCCTTGAGCAGTTCTCAATATGGTCTGGTTGACCTTGCAGCTGCTGTACTTTATCAGGTAGTTATTATCATGTGTTCAGTGACCTGCAGATCAATTTTTTGTTCAGGCTTTATAATGCCTTTTTTTTCCCTGTAGAACTATTCCATCTAAACATAGAAGAAGGTTTCTGGTTCTCTTTCATCAGTTATTTGCTACATTTTTGCTCTTCTTGGTAAACTTAAAATTATCTTGTTTCCATGTAAGAGTTTGGTTAGATTTTATTGGTTGTTTCGAATCTTTCAGAGCTATTTTGGTATTCTGTCATATGTATAGATTTCTAATTTGACATTATTTGTCATCTCGGCTTTGGCTCAAGCTGTAATGATGAAATGGAGGTCTTTTTGTTGAAATCCTTCTTATGCAAACATAAAAGAACGGAACGTAAAAATGCTGGAGAAGCAAGTAATTTGAGAAGAGATTTGATGTTATCTGGCTTTCCTGAAAATTTGAGATGAAGATCCTGGTTGCTAGTTAATATGATTTCACTTCTCAGGCTTGTGTTAACACTGCTAAACCTCCGTCAAGTGAAAAGCGGATGAAAAGAGAGCATGCTGCTGCACGTTTAAGAGAAGCACTCATGAAAGGAAAGTGGCTCTGGTAAATTTTAACTTGATTATTTAGAGCATCTCAAGTTTCGGGTTTTGCAAGTAAGTTTGGATATTTTTGTATTGTTTTTGAATTTTCTGTCGAGTGCATTCCATATCTGAGCGAACAGTGAAAAAAGTGCATTCCAATAGAGGTTGATGGCAAGTGACATAAAATGCTGAAATTTTATTCATTTTTTTGTTGATAAGAAACTGCAGAAATTCTCTGGAAATTGCATTTTATGCAATTGTTATAAAAATAGGAGATGAAATTTTATGAAGAATAGGACAAAAAACAAGAAAGGATGGGAAACTGGGTGTCCATAACCTCATAAAAAGAACTCTACGACGTTTTCATTATCGGTATAACCCCCTCTATACAGGAATCTAGTAATTATTGAGTTTAGAGGAGAAAGAAGTTTTGATAGATGTACTAGGGAAATTTAACTTAAGAGAGATTCATCCACGTTAATGCTTAGTTTAACTGGTCAAATTTTGGTGCAAGGTTCCACGGTTAGTGAATTGTAAATTAGTAGGTTCGTTTTAACATGGGATGGGGATGATTGGTTTTTTTGTGAAGCAGCCTTGGTTCTAACAGTTTATGATCATTGTCCTATATTTTCTTTACACTCATCCGACGGAATTGTGTTCTACTTAATTTTGGTTTATTTGAAAGTATGATTGCTTCATAAAAGGTTTAAAGAATACTGTAAAGAGGGAATAAAGTCGTTTTGGAAATGTTGGACTGGACCGAAAAGAAGAGCATTTTTAATAGAATTAGAATGCTGGACATGTTGGAAGAAAGGGGTGATTTGGATTTGAAATTTTTGTTCCGGATGAAAATAATTCTACTTGATTATCTTTTTGTCTCTCTCTGTTGCATGGTATTGGATAAGCTGCTTGTGTTGTTGAAAACATTGTTTTGGAATTGTCATGCTATATAGTTATTCACAATGTTTGCGCTATTTTTCTTCCTTTTTTTCTTTCTTTGGGAGTGTTGTAGTTATATTTTTCCAATGGACTCCTTGTCCTCCTGTTCTTGTACTCATTTTTATTTGTTTGGTTGGGGGATTCGTACCCCGATTCGAATCATGATTTATGGTTCGCTACAGTGTTTTTTCTCACAAAAAATACACGTAAACCGAAAATGATTCTAATCCACGAACCAAACGTCTCCTTAATAAATGTTTGTTTCGTATCTATATAATTAAAAAAAAAGGAATGATAACGCTATGGAACAAGAAAGCTAAACGGTTTAGAACATTGTAATCCCTAGCTTCTCTTTGGGAGTTGTGGCTGGAAAGGAATAATCGAACCTTTGATGGGGTAGAGGGAGAGGTTTGTGAGGTTTGGGATCGCATAATTTACTGGGTGGCAATATGGACTTCGCAAGATAAAGAATTCAAGGCCTTTTCTTTCTTGGATCTTCTACGGAATGTGATTTAATATTGGCTTAGCTTTTCTGTTGTAGTCTTTTGCGCTTGTGTTTTTTTTTCCCCTACTAGGTTGATCACCTTGACCGCCTAGTTTTGTTTCAAGGACTTCTTGTCCTCTGACGTTTGTACTTTCTTTCTTTATTATTACTTTTTTAATAAAATTTCTTGTTTCTTATAAAAAAAAAAAAAAGAATTATAACGCAGATGGACTGTTTCACAGGAATGCTGCATTCTGTTGTCTCACTCGTAACTACCATATGCGTATTAGTAAAGACCTCTTCATCTACTGGTTTGAGGGCATATCTGCAAGCTTTGAGAGGTAACTTCTTCATTTCAAGTTTATACAATAGTACTACTTTTGTTTAGTGTATTTGTTTCTTATGCGTTTCTCTTGTATTGACAACTTTTACTCAAAAAGTGAATGCTGCATACTTTTAAGACAATAATGGGGAGATAAGGGAGTCTTCATTATTTAACTTGTGCTTCAATCTTTCCTTTCGTTAGTTTTTGACGGATTGTTTCCTAAATTTTCTATTCATAGGTTTATGCATAAAATTTATACTATTCAAGCCAGTTTGTCTTCTGGTTTCTTGTATGAGTGTGTATATACATATTATAGTGTTGTCAAAAGAATTATGTAATTTCTTTCGGTGGATAAAGTGCTTTCAAGTTTGCTGTTGTTTTCATAGTAATAAAAGTTCATATTTGTGTAATTCTTTCAAATTAGTTTCCCATATCTATGCGTGCTTGTTTGGGCAAATGATTCCTAGTAAGACAGCATTTCCCCCCTTTTATTTGGATGTTTCTGATAAAAAAAGAAAAAAAAATGACATAGAAAAATATGAAAAGAGGATAAGATACTACATTTTTTTTTTAAACAGGTCTATTTGCATGTTTGTTGGGGGCATTGTTTCTTGCTGACATGAATTCTTCTAATGTTCTTCTGCATGCTTAATTTGGAAATTGCTTTGTGATGGTGGTTAAACTGCGAAACTTGCATTTGCTTGCATGCCTGTTAATACTTGCTTTAGCTGTTAGAAAAGGGGGTGTTCACTGATAAAATTGACGACCTGGAATATATTGCAGAATTATGAACGATGCAAATATGGGGCACGCTTATGATGGTTTGTTATGGACTCTAAGGTCTGGAACATTTAGAATTTTTTTTCACTTTTTCTCCACTTCCGCCATTCTTGGATGAGCTCACATACTTTTATCTATCTGCTTGCAATTGAAGGAGTTTGCAAGAACTCTCTTCTGTGTTGTTGATACCAGATTCACAAGTTGAGATGTCATCAAGCTCTTCTGCCCCGAATGAGGTATTTTCTGCTTCCCTTTCTTTTGTTCCCATTCATGTTATTGTATTTGTTTGATTTGACTCTTATTTTATTTTATTTTTTTGGACTACGCTGCAAATTGTTGGAGGCAAAATTCCTTTGATTTGAACATTGCGCTATGCTGGTCCTATTCTGTTGACTTTTTGTAACTAAAAGTTCTAACTGAAGTCTTCTTGTAAAACTATAATTTATGTTGTTCCCTCACATTGAAGTTGCATTGACTTGCAGAAAAATTTGCAGTACCACTGTAACTGGCGACTACTATGGAGCTGTTTGATGCATGGCTTACCAATATTTAGTAATGTAACTGCAGTTGTAAGTTGTAGTCAGCTCATTTACAAATTTCTTTTGGACTATTTGACAGAAATTTTTAAATGGATTTGCCATTTCTTCTCAGTCAGTCTTTCTTCCATTTACATACTCATTTTATTCAATGCTTCAGTTTCTTTTTTACTTTTCTTTCTGAAAGATGTCTGCCAAAATATTTTACCAATTAGATGTTATGTTACTTTTTGAGATTTATTGAGGACATCATAGTTTTTTTTTTAATTTATTTTTTTAACCTTATCCACTGCTGTCCAAGTATATATAGTTTATCCATATCATTGTTGAACGATTCACTCTTTTCAACAGAACTTGAAATAAAAACTCCCTTAAAGTTCTAGAATGGAGATCCTTACTCTCTTGTAGCACTTGGAAACTTTCCTATTAGTTTATTTTTTTAGCTCAAAACTTCCTATCAGTTTATTTGTTCAGATTTGACGTTATTCATGTCTCAAGAACTTATGTAAAAGTTACAAGGTTTTTATTCATTAGGCATGTACTGATGCAGGTTGATGCTGCTTTAATACTCCTTGGTAACATGATTTCAAGTGTGAGTATGAGAATTTGTCCTCCAACATCATGTTTTAGCACTTCTTGTGCAGTCCATCTACGTGAATGCAAAGACTTCTGTCCAAAAATGTTCTTATGCATTTCTTTCTCCAGGACCTAGACCTTATGAATACATTTGTCGTACCTCAGGATGTATGGGACCTGAATTTGTTCAAACAAGTGCCATCAATGTAAGTGTATTCATTTTATGCAATTCTGGTGTGATCAATGTATTTCTATAATCATTTGATTCGCATTCTTCTGACAAGAAGCACAACAAGCTTCTCATCTAATTTCCATTAATAAATTGAAAGAATCATAGTGCGTAATTCATGTGCTAGATGGAAATGCTAGCTCATTTGAATTTCCATCAACAAATTGAAAGAAATCACAGTGCGTGAAATGAGAAATCATAGTGGTTCATCTGTATTTGCAGTTTTACATGTCCCTTTTTAGACATTAGAAGCAAGAATGTTAGTTCAGTAAGGATACATGGGCAGTGAAAGCTTTCCAGTATCCGTTCCTCAGTCTCTTGATCTCTCTTTGTTGTCTTCATAATCACGAGCTTCAAATCTGTACAAGTTTCACGTTTCTTATAAAAAAAAAGAGATTCAAATCTGAGCTATATATCATAGTATTTTTGAGATTGAGATTAAACTAATTGAAGGTTATGATATCCAGGTCAGTTTTGTACTTCATTTCACGCTACTTTTCACTGAAAGGTTCTCAAGTAAGTGGCTGAATTTAGAATCTTCTCACCTTTTCTCTTCCTGTAATGTTCTGTAGCGCATGTGATTTAGAGGCAGCCTCTTATTGACATGCATCTGAGTTTAAATAGTGTAGCCTAATATGATCTATGTTTATATTCGGTTGGGTTAACTTAGTTTCTGCTTTGGCATTCATTACAGCGTGTAAACATCTTATGCACACGCAAACTCAGTTAGACATGGGAACACTTACAGAGAAACTTGTTACTGGATTGTGATTTTAGTTAGCGTGGTCTTACTGGTACTCATTTACATTGTGTAAACATCTCATGCACACCCAAACTCAGTTAGAAATGGGAACACTTACAGAGAAACTCAGTACTGGGTTGTGATTTTAGGTAGCGTGGTCTTACTGGTATTCATGTACAGCGTGTACACATCTCATGCTCACACAAACTTAGTTAGACATGGGAACACTTGCAGAGAAACTCGGTACTGGATTGTGATTTGAGTTAGCCTGGTCTTACTGGCTCTTGTCCTCGACGAGTCTATTCTGGAGTTAGACGCTGATGTTTGGCCTTTCTCTGATATGTAGTTATAGGCAGCATGAAGTTTGAACTTTGAATCAAGGAAATGAGGCAGACATGTATAATGCATCACTATCTTTGTTTTATGCAGGGTGATATTCGAGACATTTTATATCTTCGGAAAAGCCTTCTGAAAGCAATTTTGGGTCATTTTAACTGGCAGGTCTGTTTTTGTTGTTTTGCAAAAGTCATTGACAATATAAAGGAATGGAGTATTTACCAATTGAAAATAAAATGTAAACACTACGAATCCTGCAACTATCTCTTTTTTGTATCGGTGACTGGTACTATATTTGTTCAACGTGTTTTATTTCATTTTCCACATTTCTATATTTGTTCAGCGTGTTTTATTTCATTTTCCACATTTCTTTCAACCAGATAGAATAATTTATTATAGATCTTAATAAAGGTTGTTTCTTTTAAAAAAAAAAAAAAAACTTCTAGTTATTCCATAATCTTACCACTTGGGTCTTCATATGCAGGAATCTTCCATGTTCAACGAGCACCTGGTATTGTTGTTGCCTGCAGCTGTTTATTCTCTTTCTACTGGTTGTGCACCTTTTAAGCAATGCCACAGTCGACTTCCTCCATTCTATGCTTCTCAAGATGTTAATGGGGCTATGAATGACTGGGTTAAGGTAATCTGTCATGGTAGCAATGGTTTACGAGCGTATACATACTAGTTACTACTAGCTAACTTAAAGTAGGTAATTTATTGTAGGCAGAGGAACTTGAGCAAGATTATGTGCATGAACTTTTTGAATGCTCCATTGAAGTACTTGTGAATATTGATACAGAGTCCTCTGTTAAGGTATCCGACTTTCGTTTTGTGAAACTTTTATAATTGAAGTTCAAATGTGTTTTTCACTTATGTCGACCATTTGATAATTTTGTTAGGTTTCTTCATCCTCAAGCCATCCAAGTGCACGCCTTCCGCGGCAGTTGAGAGATCCCCTACTGCTTGAAATGGAGACTTTTGTTCTTGCAACTCTAGTTGACAAAGATATTGAAGCTAGGCCTCTGTCAGACTTGTTGTTTTCATGCACTCTCTTATCAAACTTGGTCCATGGCTCATACTTTGTGAGGTATGGTCCTCATTTTCCCTATTCCCTCCATTCTCCAAATTCGAATTTGGTCATGGTTGGTGCTGGTCTTTTTATTTTATTGTTTTGTGGATAAGGTATTTCATGCTTAAGCATTGTGTTTCCTTATTCACTTCTTTAAAATCAGAAACAAGAAACTTCAGTAATAGCCAAAAAAGTACAGAAAATATAGGGCACGGAGTCCTCTATCAAAAAGGAAAAAAAAAAAACCTACAATAGCAATCTTAGATCCCCATTCCCATAAAAAAATGATATATGGCAGATGCAGATTTCTGGGTGATCTGAATTCGTTATGGCAGGGTGATAAAAGGAAAATATGGTAGTAATAGTGGCGTGTGGGAGGTTGGAGAAGTTGTGGGGGTGACATATAAGTGTCCTTGGAGCAATACAGTTATTATGTTGTGATTTTGTAGCACATATTAAAGTTGAAAGTGGGTGATGGGAGGTGAGCGAGATTTTGGGACGATGTATGGATGGGTCTTTCTCTAGTCAGTTTCTGAGCCTATATAGAATTTCTTCAATCCACAATGAACCAATTTGTCTTTTTCCTTGTTAAACCTGAAAATAGAGCTTCTTGGAATCTCCACTTTTTTAGAGAGCCTAGTGATAGAGAAATGGGGGAGGTTGTGGAATTGTTGTTATGTTTCGGAGGAGTGAAGTTGTGTGAATGTATCTCGGATAGATGGATGTGGAAATTTGATGGATCGGGTTTGTTTTCCTATAAACCGTTCTTAAAATTCCTGGTTGATAATTGGTTCCTTTTCCCCTTTCAAATTCTGCCGTTTTCAAACGTCAGTTCCTTCTAAAATTCAAGTGTTTAATTGGCTACTTGTGCTTAGTAAACTTAATACGATCACGAATGGGAATGCCTTACCTTTCTCATCCTCTGGTAATGTCAATGGATCATCTTTTTCTTCATTGTCCTTTCTCTATAAACTTGTGGTATAGCATTTTTGGGAGTTTCTAATTTCTTGGACAAATCTAGACAGAAAGACTGATTTGATGATTGATGATTGATAGTTTACTTATTGGAAGATATTGGTTGTACAAGTTGTCACTTGGGCGCTATGCTTATAGAGGAAGAAATGCATATTTGAAAAAGTTGAAGACGTTGGTGATATTTGGGCAAGAACTAAATATTGGACGGCTTTTTGGGTTTTTCAAACTAAGGATTTTGCTGGTTTTTCTTTTCAAATGTGTTCCTTATCCGTTTTGGTTGGGAGATTTTTCTGCTTAAATGACTTTTTATTTGGTGGTTGGATGTTGAAACAGAGTCCATAACTAGAGAAGGGTAGGGGAGGGAAGGGCTAGAACAGGAATTTGGTGTTCTTAGGCCCTTTGGTTTGAGGTTATCAGGAGTAAATATATAGGCTCCATCTAGAAAACTAATTTCTCATGATATTCTCTGTTTTTCAAATCATGTTATGTCTACGCTAGGAAGTTCATTATGGTTTGGAACGTCATATTTTCTCATTGATTTTCCTTTTTTCTTTTCTTTATGGTTTACATGCCTCTGGTTCTTTCCAGGCAAGGAGAGGGAATTTCACCATTCCCCTCAAAAGTAGGCCAGCACCTGTTGGAATTGCTGGATCGTGCTGTTGATGTCATCCAGAGTAACCAAAATGATCTTTCATCTGGTTGCTTTAGCTATGACTTTTTTGTTGGTGACCGTGCTCTTGTTACTTCCTTTGGGAGTTTTGTCTCTTCTCCTCTATTTGTTGAACAGAGAGATCAAAGCTGTACGGATATTGCACTATATGATGCAGTTAGACAATCAACTGAGAGACTTCTAAAAGAACTTGCTAAAGGATATGAAAAATATTGCAACAGTTCAACAGTTTTTCAGTCCGAAAAGATGCTGCAAGGCTTATCCGCATCTGTTACTCCTGTACATAGTATGCCCCCTTTCGATAGTAGTAAAAGTAGGATTATGGACCTGGAGTTAGATGTGAATGATGATGCTGGAGATGTTGATATTTTAGCTGTTGGTGGGAAACGTTCCAGTGGTATATCTTCGTCTGTTGAGAAATGGAAGTTTAACATGATATCACTTATTTCGGGATTTTTCTCTGTTCTACACGTTGTTACATGGGATATTTTGTTTGAACTCATGGACAAAGAATGCAATTCAAAGGTACATTGCATACTTATTCTGTATGGCTTGCACTAAACTTAAAAATTCTATCACTTCTGTTCTTTTACCCCCATATGTATACTGTTTTTTAATCTCTATTGTCAAATAGGTTCGCGAAAGAATTCTGTACAACCTTTGTCAACATCCCTATTGGTCGTCATCTTCAAATTTTACCGATTTGGTACGAGACAACCTAATACTGAAAGTAAAAGTTACTGCAGAATTCAGAGAGGCATATTTAGTGCCTCATGTTAAATGTGTAAAATAACAGGTCTTTACGTGTTTTCTTTCCAGATCAATATTATGGATGGCATGATTGAGATTCACTCCAGTCTTAAGCTTGATTGTATCAGCACATTAGCTGCTATCTGTGCTTTGCTGGAGACTTTATTATCCTTGAAAGATAGTAGGAAAGCTAAACTGGTCTCTTCTTCTTTGGATATGAAATCTGAACAGGTCTTTTCAGTTTTCCTTCTAATGTAAATAATGTGAGCAATTATGCTTTGTAGAAAAGCAAAATTTGTTTGTTTGTCTGTTTTGTTTTGTTTTTTATTTTTATTTTTTTTAGTTTTTGGTTATTATTGTTGTTGTTGTTTTTGAGAGCACAATAGAGTAAATATCATTTGCACTCTTACATTATCTTTACGCTATCCTATGTTTGTGTAAACTATGTCTACTATTATTATCTATTCTGCCCTTGAGCTTTTTGTTTATTTATTTTTTGTTTTTTGGTAGTATTTTTCTTGTTTCAAGACCTCTATCTTCCTTTCTTTTTATTTTTTAATTTTTCTTTTAAACAATACTTTATTATCATACTTGTATTTGTTAGTAAATCGTTTTTGATATTCAACAAAGTTTTCATCATAAAGTCGTTTACAAAAGATTTATATCATGATAATCATTGTTTAATTAACTCCTTTCTAGTGTCTGCAGAGCTTGATGCATCTTGGAGATCTGATAAATAAAACTGCTGAACTTGATCATCTCGAGTGGTCTGGACGTGTTAAGCTGGTTGACTGCATATGTGATTTTGTTTTACTAAGTCCTCAAATTGGCCAGGTGATCTTTAATGATGATTACAAATGTTTGTACCTTTAAACTTGAAGCGTGTATTAATCTTAATTGTCTGAGGCATGAATTCTTTTGATCTGATGATAATTGGATTATATGAAGCTTAATTGAATAGGAAAACCTGCTTCATACGTCCCTGTTTCAGTCTTGGAAACTAGTGTCTGTGACTGCAATTTCTTATATATTCGTTGATGAAATGAAATTAGGAATTCTTCTGATAATAAGTTGCAAGAATGCTTCAAAGGGTCATGTACACATAATTGTGAGATCCATGCCTACCCTATATTGCATAGGCCGAGCGTAATTAGCCGCAAGAGCTGCCTGAGTAGCGGCTTTAGTTGCCTGAGCTGATAGAGCTGTCATGCCTACTTGTCTGAAGGAGCCTTAAAGGCGCTGGCGCGCTTCCTAGCACGTTTACTAATAGGGGCTTGAAGGTCGTTGCTTGCTGAAGGGGTAATAAGGCTTTCTTATTAGTAGCCTTACTAATCAATAGGGCGCGCCTTACACTGTTAGTCTTGTTAGCTATGAGTCATTAGTTTATGTTCCACATTGTGTCATGTATTGCTGTTTGAGAGCTTACCGCTAAATGAAATCATTTTGGTACACTGACTTCGATTGATGTATCTAAAAATTAGGATAGTTCTTAAAGCTCCTTGAGAGCTGATACCGACAACACAGAACTCTAGTTGTTTCCTTCAAGTAATCAGATTTCAAAACATCCTTATAGTTTTGGAAGAAGTCCACAATGAAACCACCCGGACCTGGCAATTTATCCTCACAACAACCAACATTAAGTTCCTTAGTTTCATTTATTCAAAAGGTCTCTCCAACCAATTAGCTGAAAGGTGCGAGCGGGATACCAAATTAAGCCATCACTGTCCATCCTGATTCTGAAGTTGATGGGTTTTCTACTTCTCTTGGTCGACTAATTCGTACCTCTTATGATGGTTTCATGTCTGATTTCTTGGTTGAGGGTGTATCCAGTATTTCTTTTCTGTTTGATTATTTTTTATAATCATAATGACGAATTTATAATCCTGTAGGGCCCGTTTGGGAGGTATACTCAGACCCATGATTCTTAATTGTGACGTTTGAAATTCAAATTTTTTGTGAGAGCTTTACACTGTAGCAAAATTATGGGTTTGAGTATATGAACCAAACACCCCTATAGTTTTAATCCTTGGTTTGTATGGTTGCTGTGATGCAACTATTTACAGACAATGATTGAAAGATTGCTGTTGATGCTCCGAGATACTGATTATCGTGTGAGGTTGTCTGTGGCTAGACACATCGGTGTTCTTTTCCAAACGTGGGAAGGACATGAGGAGTTATTCGAAGATATCTGGTGGGTTTTACTCTTTTTTTTTTTGTATCTTTTAGTTTTCTTCCCTATAATTTTGCCTGTTGTTTATTTCTTTTTGTATCTTTTCTAATTTTTATCATGGTACAAGTCACATAAACCGACTCAAACTTGTGTGATTTTTTCTCTTGGAACCCTCAAACTTGTGATAGTAACATTTTTTTTTGGGAGGCATACCATTGTAACTTGCTTGATTAATTTTGCTTTTGTTTGAAGTTATTGGAAGCAGAGTACGTCTTATGTTTTGAGTTTAATCATGTAGCTCATAAGATCTTTTAAGATTGTGTCTGAAATCTACTTTTGTGCATTTTGAGAGGGAAAAAAAAGGAAGAGGAAAAACGGTGATCTTGATTAAGATTTGGTTGCGAGGTGCAATTCTGGTTGGCTAACAGCCTTTCTTTTCTTTTGTCCCCCGAGTAGTTCTTTCTCCTCCTATGGGGAGTTCTTCTTCTTCTTCCTTTTTAATAATCCTTCTTCATATTGACAAATAATGTTCTATACAAGACATTTGATTTTTTTTATTAACTTTGATTTGATATTCTGAATTAAAACTTTAAACCTGTCATCCAAATTTAAAATCACATGAGGTGATTTCGTATAAATAAAGGATGTAATACAGAAGTATAAGTCAAATCATATTTGAGAACATCATTTGCTTGTTTTTTAAGTTGACTAAAACAAATGGCAGAGGCAAACATGGAAATAAATTGACACTTTCAACTGTGGTCTTTTATTTTTTATTTTTTATTTTTTTAAGGGGAAAAAACACCCTTAACTCTTAAGGCATTGTTCTTGCTCCATAATTGCATAGATGCGACTCATTTTTTCACTTTCTAAATTGTTGCACGTTGAACATGGATGTTTGTTTGGTATATGATGTTCCTATTTAAAATGTTAATGGCATATATTTCTCATTCTGAAATCTCCTTTTTACCTGGCTGTGTCGTTAGTTCCAACTTTGGCGTTACATTGGTTGTTTCCTCAAAAGGCAAAATTGTCACTGCTAGTGAGGTCTTAGCTTCTGGTCCTCAGCCTTGCCCCACGATGGAAACGATTATTGTTACTCTGATGCACCTTGCATTGTACAGTGAGAAAATAGAACAACAGGTATATTTATGTTGCTTTTTTCAGTGTGTTTGGATAAAACATTACATACAAGGAAAAGAAGGATGCTGAGTCTGCTAAAAGAAAGAATTCGAGGACCACACAATGGAGATTGTAGAATGTGAAGGAAACTTTTGCACAGTAATTAGGTGGTCAGGCTAATGGAATAACATTATATATTTTGGCTCTGTATTGCGTGTTTGTTTCTTTTGCTGGAATATGGTTCTCCTTTCTTCATTTCCTCATCCTTAATGGTTAGATGCATAAACAGCTAGCAGTTATTAAAAAATGCTTAAAACCTGTGGTTGCAGACATAGCCTTGCTGTGACTGTACACACTCCACCAAAAGGTGTGGAGTTCAAATTCCCCCACCCAAAGTTAAAAACTACCTAAACAGTGGTTTCAGTCATTTTTGAGTTCAAAAAGATCAGTTTCTAATTTATTCAAACCTCTTACTGTTCTTTTCTAATTTCAAGTTATTTTAATTGGCTTGTGTTACCTACATTATAAAGGAGCATTACAATCATACGGGTTTCTATTCATGAGATGCAGGCTGTATTTATGATGTGTGTAATTTCTGCCATTGATCCGTCTCAGAGGTGCATATTTCTCTCTGTTCTGCAGAATTGATTTGATATGTTATGTTTTGGTAATTGTCTAGCCCTTTCTTTCTTTCTTATTTATTTATGTTTTCTTTCAGGGAATTGGTTTTTGTGGTGCTTGATAATCTTTCGAGAAAGCTTCAGTATACAACTAGGTTTAAGGTGATAAAGAATAATTCTCTCCTTCCTGCTGTCGACACATGGTTTTCATCTTAGTCTTAGAAGTGGCTGCTAATATTTGTGATCTTGTGAAATAATTTTTACTAATACCTACTAATGCCAAGGAATATTTGAACTATAGATTTCATTCAACTGTTGTATTTTTTGTCTTGACTGGGAAGAAGATATATACAGGTTGAATGTTAATTTATTTATTATTTTATTATTATTATTATTATTATATTTTTTTTTGCAGTACTTGGAAGAACTCATAGCATCTATTCTCTTTTGTTGGGTTGCTTGTGGTGTAAGCTTAGCTGCACTTGTTGAGGTACAGTGCTCATGTTTTCCACAAGAATATGTCTGAAAATGTGTTATGTTTACTACCAGCAAGGATTTTCCAGTTTCCTATTTTCTTTTCTTTTCTTTTCCCGGAGGATCACTGGTCCTGTTTTGTGTTATATTATTTTTCTTTCTCTATCTTTGTTTCTTATAGAACACAACATATGTACATACGTAAGTACATATGTATTTATTTATTTATGTACGCGTATATATATATATATATATATATATATATATATATATATGTCTGTTGTATGCTGCTGATCCTCTTGTTTGAGTTGTATGTATATATTCATACAAGTTTCATTTTCTCTTTACAGATAAGACAACTCTTTGTAGCAGATAGTGAACCAAGCTATTTCATGCTGTACTGTTGCAATTGGCTTCTTCCAACTTTGGTTCTGCATGGTGACAGTTCCAACCTCAGTTGGGTCTCTAAGGTAGGGTCAGCTGGGAGGTGAATTTATTAGATCAATGTTTCTCTCCATGCATATTGCTGTTGGCCTGGCTTTTCTGTTGGGATTAAGAACTCTTATTACATGTGATTGTAAAAGGTTTTGAAAGGTAAATCTGAAAGGTAGAATAATTATGTGCGAGCTCTAGGTATTTACTAAGATTGCATGCTGAGTTGTTTTTTTGGCTATGATGTTCATTGTGTTGGCTTGGCTTTTCTGTTGGGATTAAGACTCTTATTACATGTGATTGTAAAAGGTTTTGAAAGGTAAATCTGGAAGGTAGAATAATTATGTGCGAGCTCTAGGTATTTACTAAGATTGCGTGCTGAGTTGTTTATTTGGCTATGATGTTCATTGTATTTCTAATTTTCTGCTTTACAATTGGTTTCTTTATCTAATGTCATCTTTTTGTTTCAGATTGCTGGCCAACCTTTGTCAATTCTGGTCAAAGATCACTTTGTGCAGATCTTTTCAATTTGTATCGGGTTGCACTGCAGCAATACATCTGGTGGGCATAAGGGAGCTGATGTACTTCAAAATTCAATTTTGCAACTTGCACAGATATCTGAGAGTGAACGAGACACACTTATAAAGAAACATATGGTTTGCTTCTACTGATGTGGATTTAGTAATGCTCAGTATTAGAGTTCCAAGTTTAACCGTGTGTTGCATAATATGATTTTCAGTAACTTGTGAATGCCCCTAGTTTATGAAACTTTAGAGGTAAACGATCACTTTTAGTAGTTAATTTCCCTTAGGATGCCTACATGGTCCTAGATACCAAAAATCCCACCTTTCTTTTAAAGATAATTAGTTGGTTTTAGATGCCCTTGAGTTTCCCTCCTATTGCAACCCGGTTTTGCAAGGGTGAGTACCACCTAATGGGTTTGTAAGCTAGTCCACCATGTTGCAGGTTCAAGTCAAAGCTGTTGCATTATGGGCTGGATTAAGATGCATTGGTGTAGCCGTCAAACGTTGAATACTGATATTAGAGTGAAGCTGCCTAGTATGAAAGGGTTACTGTTGGATCAGTGTCAATACTGTAAACTGCCGCTGATTTGCACCCAAGCGTGGTGGATTGTTACAAACCACCATGTCGAGCATGGGATTGGATGTATGGGATTTGGTTATGTGATTGTTGCTACAGGTGGGGCGCCCTGAAGAGGGCTGCTACTTGATAGAAGGTAGGATCTAAGAAACACCTGGCTAGGAAGATGGGCTGCTGTGGACGGCGGTTGCGGAATGTGTTGGAATGTTAGATACCTAAAGTCCGACATGGAATGATTTTAAGACAATCAGTGGGTTTATAAGCCCATGGGTTCCTCCCCTTGTAAGCCTGTTTTGCAAGGGTGAGTTCTACCTAATGGTTTATAACACAGTTTTCTTAACGATAGTCTTAGCGTGCTTCTCAAAAAGAATAAAAAAAGGGGTCTTGCTGTACAAAGTCATTACAATTTGCTGATCTAATGCATGTCAGAATAACTCTTTTCTTGTTACGTGCTATATCTAGACTAGTTCATTCAGAGTTACACAGGCGGAAAGTTCAAGGAATAAAACTTGAGATATGGATTAGCCATCTACTATAGAAGAGATCTTGTGTTTGACTAGAGCTGACTGCTAGTGATTCTTTTGCATGGGAAATAATGTTTGCGTAGTCAGTGCTATTTTATTTTGTACCAAGCCTTTTTCATCTTCCTGTTTTGTTTAACTAATCTACATTCATCTGTAGCCTGACATGAATTACATTTCATCGTCCTGTTTTATTTAACTAATCTGCATTCATCTGTAGCTTGACATGAATTACATTCCATAAGTGATCTAAATATGATTGACATAATAGGTCAAAAATATTCCTTTGATTATAATATGATGCCCTGTTTCTTTTCTAGGTATCCATTGTCAGCCAAATTTTGTCACGTGCTTCTTGTGCTTCTGAACCTGCGGTCCCTTTCTTTTCTCTGGATACAGTTGAACGATCAATTCGAACAGTTGTTGATGGTTTTCTGGAGATGTGAGTTATTTTATCATCACTGCTTATTGTGTTGTACTATTGTTTCCATTTGTATCATTTTTTTTTGGGGTTAAAATGTGCTGTGTTGGGACATGTGTAGGGTGGATTATCCTACAGGAGCTGGTGTTGTTGACAAGATTAACATTTTTCGCCCAGATAGGGTTTTCATGGTACAACGCAATTACACACACATATTGTTTTAGCTTCCTTTTTCCGTTCGATTGTTGGCACGGTCAGTACGTTATATGAAGTGAATTGCTGTGTTCATTATGCAGTTTATACTAGAACTTCATTATAAAATTGCTGCGGCAGTCCACCATAGGCATAAATGTCATCGATTGGCTGGAATTGAGGTGCTTGTAGATATACTTGGACATAGAGTTTCTGTTTCAAGCACTTCCAAGTGAGTAACATAATCGTGTTTCGAGATTTATTAATATATAATTCATGCCAAAGCTATTGTTATTAGTATTTAAGTGATGGGTTCTTGTTATTATTTTTGCTTTCTAGAATCCTTTTGATGGAATAAAATTATTTATTTTCATGAAGAGGGTATTAGTTTTACAAAGTGGAAACGAGAATCTATTTTTTTTTATTATTCCTTTGGGATTGTCGTCTTTATTTGGATCATTTGTAAAGGAGTGCTACAATTGTGTAATAAAATTCGACCATCATCTGTTTATGTCCTTAGTTGTGTTGTTTTTTATTTTTTTATTTTTTTTCTCCAATGTGGGGCGTATGTCTCCCCCTTTAGTCAAGAAATGAAACCACCACGACTCGAACCCTGGTGGACACGCGCGCACACGCATACACTCACACACCCAATTATTTGAGCTAGCTTTAAGTGGTGTACTTAGCTGTGTTGTGATGATGTATAATTACTTGGCAGTTCCGACTCTTTTGTTTGCAAGTTTTGTAGGTTGACTGGGTGGAACCTTATTGCTTTAAGATAAGAGTGTCTAGTTTTTTGTTTACAGTAACTATTTTAACTTGTTTGCAATTCTTTTCACTTGGTCGTTGACTCCTATGCTACAATGTTCAACACAGTTTTATTTTGAATTCGATTGGGCAATACATCAGTTGTGATGCATTACAAGATCAATGCTGTCGTATCATTTCTCGATTGCTAAAAACTTTTAAAAGTAACCCCTCCAAAGAAATGATAAGTGTGCTGGGGGAACAAATTCAGGTATATATCTCATGTTGGTGGGTTCATCGTGCATTTTTTTCTCCCTATAAATTCTGCTTTCTTACTTCAGTCTCCTTTGCTCTTATGTCTTATCCGATTATTATATGGCGCAGTTTTTGGTATCAAAGTTGGTGGCTTGTTGCATTCCCTCTAAAGCTCATGGAGACCAATCTGGAACAGGCTCATCTCAAGTTTTTTCCCTGCTTCTCCAGCTGACTGTTGATAGTGATCCATGTCTTCATGATTACATCAGTGTAGTGTATCGGAGTCGAAATTTTATTTCCTGTAATTTATCTTTTAGTACATTACCATGTCTTCATGCCCTTTAATGCATGTAATTGCTTTTCGGCAGGAATTGGAACCCTTCCCTGAAATAGATATATTCGATAAGGTTAGAAGGTTCCATCAGGATTTATGCCGAAAGTACTCTACAAGAGATCACTTGTTGAAGGTATACGATTTTGAACTTATGTATTTTCACATGTTAGTTGTGTGATTCAGGAATTATTTTAATGCTTCTCTTTTAGCAAATAAATAAATAAAACTTATCTCATGTTAATTTTCCTTTTTATCGTGTCCCTAATATAGTTGGTGAAGAGAGCTTGCTACGTTCCACCAAGATTACTTTTATCAAGGTAATTTTTCCTTTTTTTTTTTTTTAAATCTCTTCCTTTGGTCGTTGTCAAACTTGAGGCTGTAGGAAACTAATCCAAGCTCAGTTAAGAATGAAATTGATTGTCTACTGGAAGACTTCATACGTTGCTGATTTATAAAATGGATTATATGCCTGGTATATTCTTGTAGTCTTCAAGCTCTGCACAAAAAGTTACCGTCAGAGGAAAATTTTCGGATTGAAAAGGACAAAGACGATCTCATTTATGGATGTGGTTGGAATTTTGACAATGAAATTGTAAACGCTATCTGGACATTAGTACGCATGTGTGGCTCAGATGATGGAAATACTGCTGGAGCATTGGTGTCTGATTTTATTTTGAGGGTACTGTTAGCAACTCTTTTTTCTTAAAAAAAAAATTAATTTTGTTGTTTTTGGCTTTACTTTGTCAAATCTATTAGGTTCTCAAGCATTTTTCTACACATTTTTCTAAGTAAATCTGCTTACTTTTGAATTCAGGTTGGTATCGGGGACCCATATTCTGTTGTCTTCCATCTTCCTGGAAGCTACGGGAGCCTTGATGCCTGTAGAACTAATAATCGTGACTTGACCCTAGAAGTGAGTTGTCAAATGGATACTGGAATATCTGAAGGTCTCCTGATTGCTCTTTTAAAACTTTTGATGAAGTACCTGATGGACGATTCTGTTAAAATTGTAGATATGGCATCTCAAGCTCTTCGGGTGAGTTTTTGGTGTTGTTTGGATTTTCCACAGACCCAACTCTGTAATTGTGTTGCCTTTTTCTCTTTGGAATATGTGCAAAATTGACACTTTTTAAAGCATGGCTTTAGTAAATGACCACCCTAGTTTTGTAAAATTAAAAATAGAAATGTTGATTTTCTAACAGGTAAATTACTGATTTACTTGGTGTCAATCACCAATTGACTTGGTCAATCATTGATTAGCTGATATTCGTCAGTGACGAACCATGTCAACTAATGAATAACCAAATATCAATCTATGATTTTACACCAAAATCAATTAGTGATTTTCCAATATGAATAATTGTAACAGGCTACATACTCAAATGTTTCTTACGGATTATACAACTCATAACAAGTCATACCAATAATGATATACAATCTTGCATGTCTATAATTATATATAGAAGGGAAGATGGAGTTGCAAGTTTTTGTACTTCAACCAAGTAATCCAATGGTCCACATCATCTATTTATTTTTAACTTGAAATGCAATGGTCAAGATTTATACACATGGCTAATGCATTCTCTCACGCCTCATATCACACCTCACACTTTTAACTTTGTTTGTTTGTTTGTTTGTTTCGCTTCATTTCATTTCCTTTTCTTTTTTTAACTTGTTTGTTTAGCTTTTTGAATTTTAATAATATTATTATTTGACTTGTGATATTAGTGCTATGCGTAATATATTATGTTAACATATTAAAATTACATTTGTGAATGAATTTTTATTTATTGATAATAATATGTCAATACTAATTGGACTTTAAGAGTAATATATGTTATGTTAATATATGAAAAGTACATTTTTTTAATTGATTTTTATTGATTGTTAATAGTAAGTTAATACTATTACTAATTGTACTTTATATTCATCTTTAAACCTAAATTCGTAATCAATTAAGGTTTAATATTAATATTAATATTAATATCAATTACTACTTTTCTCTCTATTTTTATTAATAAAAAAGTTAAGGTAGAAAAAGGGGCACGTCCCTCAAGCTAGTTCTTTTAAATATGTGTATATACATATTGATAAATACTGGAGCAACATATGTACTTAATAAAATAATGACTTTTAACATTATTTTACAGAGCGTAATGTGTGAGGTACTTTAAAAACCTCTGCAGTAATTTGAACATTTATGTAGCTAACCTTATAGGTCTTGTCCGGGACCTGTATTTCATTTAGGTGGTTTTTTTTTTTTTTTTTTTGATAATAAAAACTTTTTTGATAAAAATCAATAACAAAGGCAGAGGACAAGGTATCCTCAAGCCGAAAAGAAACAAAAAGGGCCAGGATTATGTATGTATGTAACTATTAAAGGATATCTTACTTGTGACACTTTTAAATTTGTGATTTTTGCTTTTCTTAATCAGGCAATTCTTTCTACCGAAAGGGGTCAAAAAGCTCTGCAGTCATTTGTTTCGTACAAGAGATCTCTTGTTGAGGTGATTATTATGCATCTTCTCTGCTAGACATTTTAAGTTTTCAATTCAGAATATTGACTTATCTGTCCCAATTTTTCGTACTTGAATTTAACATTTTGCTTTAGAGTAATCTCATGGTAAAATTAATTTGACTGCTTAAAATTCATGTGAAGTATTTCTCACTTTGCAGGTCCACTCGAAGGGTATTAATCTTGAGCTAGTAGAAAAATTCCTTTCAGATCTCGAAAGGAAATATAAAGGTAGATTGGTGCTACGTTTTCAAAACTTACTATTCTTGCTTAAGGTGATGATTTAAACTGTAACGATTAAAGTAAAGGTCTCAATATAACAAGGATAAAAGGATGAATACATTTCAGGGGCTCTTTGAGTGATCACTCATAAGTAGCCTTCTCTACTCTTCTTGCTAACTTTCAGAAATATGCTATCCCATTTTTCTGTTACTTTCTGTTCTTTGAACTTCCATTTTCACGAGAACATAAATACAACTAGCTAATATATACCACCAACATAGGTTAATGAAATTTTCCCTCCCCCTGTTTACTTCCTCTTCACAACATTTCGATTACTGGTGTTTGAATAGAACACATAGATATTTGCCCGTCTCTGTCTGTCTTTTCTGGTCTCTTTCTTGTTGTATGCTTTGTCTGTTCTACATGCAATGATTCCATAAATTTCCATTAGCCGAAGCAATGTCATTGGACGATTCAACCCTATGGGAGGCACATGGTAAAAATTTTGAGACATGGATTTGTCCGCTTGCCTACGTGCTATGTGGCTATTGTAATGATGTAATTCTAAGGTATTATTTTTGTTTTCTTTTATAAATTATTGGTCTATTGAGGGGTTTTTTTTTGTTTTTTTTGTTTTTTTTTTGTTTTGCATTTAATCAAACAAATTTATTAGATTGACGTACTGCTTTCAGGTTATGCCAGGAGGTTGTGTTTTCGAAAGCTGAAGTTGCAGAGCTTCTATGGCCAAGTATTTTCGTCAATCTGGCTGGGAGGGGGAATATAGATATTAATCTTCAATTTTTGATCTCCTCAAAGGTTGTTTTGTGAGCAATTTTATTTCTACTTTTTTATTTATTCTTTTCATTTGCCTTTTTCCCCTTCTTTTGTTTGCCATTCATTTAATATTAATAGACATATTTGTTAAGGTTTTACCGACTTGTGTTCAGACTTCAGATCATTTTCATTCTAAAACTTGGCAGCAACTTGGAAAGATATCATCTTGAGAAAGGATTGAATTGGTTGTTTATTTACTATAATCTTCCATATTGGATGAATCAGAATTACTGTCAAGTGGTCATGGAACCTATACAAACAGACGAGCATTTTGTTGATGGATTCCATTATATGGATAAGAGAACGGTTTGGGAATTGAATCTACCTAGACAACCAGAGAAAGCAATTAATTGATGTATTTTACTACATTGTGAAGAGATATTAATGATTTGGGAATTGAGTGTGGGCGCACTTAATCTGATGATTTTCTCTAGTATGTTTGATAGTAGACTGACCTGTTTTTTCTCTCCCTATTACTTGTTTTTTAGAGCTTTTAATTTTGACTACATGTTAGATGCCCTACTCTTTATTGGATGAAATGTATGATTACTGTGTTGCGGAACTTTATGGCTCTGTGAACTCTACATCTCGTGCTTTGTTGTTTGAAGGAAAGAATAATTTTTTTTTATATGATTGGTTAATATGCAGGTGCAAGAACATATTTTTGCAGAGTCTAATAGATTAATCAAATCAATTCAAGTCTTCTTGAATGCCCTTAATGAACTTCGGTTGTGTTTTGTCAAGGAAAGATCTTCTGTACCATCGAAACAAGAAATTTCTAAGGTATATCACATCAAATTATCCACATAGTTACGGTCTATAGCTTTTTATTATTACTATTATTATTATTATTATTATTATTATTATTATTATTATTATTATTTTGTTATTATTATTATTAGTATTATTATTTTCAAATAGATTTGCGTTGCTCTGAGGCTTTTAAGGTCTCTCATCCACTTCTGGCTAATGCAAATTTTTCCTTGGTATTTGCCAAGCCTTCTAGTTATGGCTCTAAATCGCGTTCATCCTCTGGAAAGGCTAGAGAATCAGCAGATACACTGAAGGCAATGCGAATGTCTACGTCTTTATGGAACAAGGTAACTTTCCATGCAAATGTGTTCGGAGAACTTGAGTTTTGGAACTTTGCCCATGCTTTTGCTCGTCCTTTCTTTGAAATTGGCTACTACAAGAAAGATTGGCATAATACACATAATATTTGTCCTCGCATCATGCTTGAGGCATTTGTTGAGTTGAGTATTACTTGTGAAATAAATGCATAACACTGGGTCACCTTTTCCTTTCATTGCTGACAAGTATAATGTTCCCAGGTGTATTGGCTTACCATTGACTATCTCGTTGTTGCCAAGTCAGCAGTTGTGAGTTCATAAGCTTCATTGCTTTACTTATATTTTCTTTCTGTACTTTTGGTGGCATATATGCATAAGATCATTTCATTAACGTGTGTATAGACTTGTGGATCATACTTTACTGCCGTGATTTACGTGGAGCATTGGTGTGAAGAGCATTTCAAAAGTCTCACACTGGGGAGCCCAGATTTCTCTGACATTGAAATGGTTAGTTGGACATACAGGATATACTAAAGTGATCTACTTTTTGGGCTGTAAAACATAAATTTTAATGTCCAAGTTGTTTAGAAGAAAATAGACTAGCGGCTTAGGGATTTTTTTAAAAATGTTTGTTAATTATTTACACACTTCATATATGCTTCATTGCTGCTTAAATGCGGTTCTTTATGTGCGTGCATGTTGTACGCAAACATACATATATGTTAACTTTTGGCACGTCTTCTCGGGTTTAAGATTGTATGTCTAAATTCTGTTTACTGTCTTGTTGCTCCAGTTGCCACATCATATTGAAATTCTTATCTCAGCGGTAACGCATATCAATGAACCTGACAGCTTATATGGGATCATCCAGTCTCACAAGGTATGTAAGGCGCACTTAATTCGTTCTCAATTGTAACAAACTCATCCCCCTATTTCCTTACCTCCGCTAATTGGTTTTGTTGTAAGCTATGTTTAATTCGTTCTTAATTCATTCCATATTGATAACATTGGTTTTGTTCTCACAGTTGTGACTTTTTTTGGTTGTTTGTTTTTTGGTGATGGAATTGTTAGCTGACCTCTCAAATAATTACTTGTGAGCACGAGGGAAACTGGGGCAAGGCTCTTGAATCTTATGACTTGCAAGTACGTTCAGCTGCCTTGGTCCAGAGGGATTATAGTTCCCAAAATTCATTACTGGAACGGACTCGGCCAACAGACAATTTAGCAATTTCCGCCCAACAAGATCAAATGAGGAAACCTTTTAAAGGTCTTATTAGATCCTTGCAACAAATTGGTTGTATGCACGTGCTGGATTTGTATTGCCAAGGTCTGACTTCAAGGAAGGTTCATATTCAGCATGATATGGAGTTTACCGAATTGCAGGTTTCCTATCTTATAATTTTTTTTGTCTTATGAGAAATCTCAGCTAAATGTATTTTATTTTCTTAAAATTTCGTTTATTTTTTCGAAAGGCTTTACTTATGAGTCTTGATTTTGTTCGTCAACCATTTACAGTACGAGGCTGCTTGGCGAGCAGGAAACTGGGATTTTTCCCTACTTTACATGGGAAATAATACTCAAAGTCTCCAAACTAGAAGTGGTCATTACAATGAAAATCTGCACAGGTAAAATGGTTGAGAGTTTGGATTTTTATCTCTCGTCGAATATAAACTGTAGCCTTACTTTCTTTTTTCCGTTTCTTTTTTCTACTTTACATGGATATAGATAGGACTTTCAGAGGTAAAACTATTTGGATAGGAAATGCTCAACTTTTATGCAACTAAAATGTTGATGCAACTTTTGTTTTTTGTTTTTTGTTCTTTTTTTTTTGTTTTTTTTTGTTATTTTTTTTTGTTTTTTTTATGGCTTCTCATTCTTCTTTTTGGGTCCTTTATTTTCTGTGTAAACGATAGATTTTTCTCCTTTCAAAGGGTGTAAATTTCCAAGCCCTCTTTAAGTATTTCAATAGAGTCAATACAATTTTTGTATTAGCAAGAAACATTCAAATAAATACTTTTAGTAGACCATGTATTAGAAATTTTCTTTCTCGCTGATAATTCTAAATTGGATGGATGCAATAGGAAGATAATGTCCTTTATTGTTTTTTACTCCGTTGGCAGTGCTCTTTCTTGAGTGCCTCTGCCCTGTTTGTTTGTTTTGAGGAAACCTCATCCTTTTCCTTGTATTGATTTAATTATCAATGAAAGGATTTTCTTATAGAAAAAAGACTGTGTATCAGATCTTGGTAGTTACTAACATCATCACAAGTCAATTAGCATCAAAATTAGTGGTTTATTCTGTTTAATCATGTAAATCAATAATTAATGTTTATTAGGTTTTATCATGAAAAACAATAACTAAGGTTTATCTTGTTTTATCATCAAAATCAATAATTAATGTTAGAGGTAACTAGATGACGGAACCAGGTTCGAAGTTTGATTTATTACACTTGATTTACCTACATTAGTGTTATTGTTGTTTATGATCATCCTATTCATGTATCCAAGGACGTATGGAAGGGAAGGGCACACCAGTAGGTTATTCATGAATTAATTTGAAGGTTCCATGTACTTATTTTTTTCATGTATCCAAGGACGTATGGAAGGGAAGGGCACACCAGTAGGTTATTCATGAATTAATTTGAAGGGAAATGTACTTTTTTTTTTTTTAATTTTTTTTTTAATTTTATTTTTTGAGTTAGCTGTTTGAGGGCGTTGCAAGAAGGCGATTTTGATGTATTTCATATAAAACTGAGAGAATCAAAGCAGGTGCTTTTCGTCTCCTTTTTGTTTCTTTAATATAGGAAGTTGGATTTTGAACAAGTTTACTTATGCCTTTGAAAAAATTTAGGAACTTGTGTCCTCTGTTTCTCATGCAAGTGAAGAGAGCACTGAACACATTTACTCATCAATTATCCAACTCCAGGTACGTAATATAGCTAGCTTGCATTGTACCTTAATATATTCACTTTTTGTTTACAATGTAGACTTTTTTAAAGAATGCATTATTTCTGACTCACGAGGTTATATGCTTTCTGAACATGGTTAGGTTCCTAATATTCTTTTTCTTCCCAACAGATTCTATGTTCTAAGTTTTCAATTTAGTTGCATGCTGCTGTTTGTATAAATGGAAGTTTAGGCTAGCTATAGCCAGGGGCAATAAATCTGGAAATACTTCTTCGACTATCATAGTGGAATAGGAAAGATCTTGTTTCTTATGGTTACAAGGTTTCATATATTACTGTAATTGAAATTAGTGAACTAGAGAACCTTTTGAAACTGTGAAATTCAATGATGAAAAAAGCTTCATAGCTCCTGTATATTACAGGTGTCCAGTCTTCAACTTATTTATTATTTTATTTAAGAAAATTTTGTATTTGGTCTTTTCAATGTACTGCTGTACCTCATGCAGATTCTTTATCATCTCGGTATTGCTTGGGATCTACGATGGAGGACATCTCCATGTGAGGGAATAAAATTCTATTCAAACAAGCAACAAGAGGTTTCAGGACCTGTAATTCCGACTGTGGATCAGGTATTGAAGTTTTCGAAACTCAGTTCCTGTAAATGAATAGTGGTGTCCTATATTTTAATCCATTAAGCCGACCGCCTACTTCACCCGACTCATAAGCTATTAGCCCAAAAGCCTTATGAACTACATCCAGGATATTATCTAGCCTAACAAGAGAAGTACTGGCCAGTGGAAGGACTTAACCTACCAAGCCAATCAATAAAGTTGAGACAGTGAGAGATCCTGAAAAGTAATACTTCCCAAGTATAATGAGTATATGTAGGACAGCAGTTATGGGCAATTAAAAGAGCTTGTAAAGCAGAACCAGTATAATGACCATAGGAGGGCTTGAACTACTGGAATTGGTTCAAAAATATGAGAAAACCTCATTAAGAACGTCCACAGTTGTCACTAAGTCTTCACGGGACTAGAGCAATGGACATAACAACCGCTAACTCTCTACATGAAATACAAAAGACTAAGCCAAACCACTTACATATGACATCACGTACTCTTCTCTTAGGAGCAAAATTTCCTTGCATGTTAACACCTAACATGTGTATAGAGACAAATTACATATTTATCTAGATGCCTTGCATGTTAACACCTAACATGTGTATAGAGACAAATTACATATTTATCTAGATGACTAACATCTGTTTTTGAACGTCACTTAGTTGTCTTGGCTGAATAGGGATTGGACTACTATCTTGAAATGAGCGCGCCTACATATGAATTTGTTAGAACCATTTATAGCATTCAGGCGAGTTCTACTTCAAATCTTAAGTTGTAAAGACTCTACCATGCAACATCTTTTGCAATCTGCATCTACTCTTCGCAAGGTATTTTAGCATTTTATTTATGGGAAAATTGATCTAGCTCCAAATTTCTGATTTCCTATGCTTATGATTCTCTTCATTTAACAGGGCTCTAGATTTTCTCAAGCAGCTGCTTTCTTGCATGAGCATAAGCTCCTAAGTGTTGAATCAGGAGAACAAGGTTCATCCTTGTATTGGCTTGGAAGGGTACAAAAATACTCTGTTTCTTTCCATATCTTCTAAAGAACATAGTTTCTCCCGTCTGAGTAGTATGTTTTGTAATTTGGAGTCAAACTTTTCTTTTTCCTTACTATATTTTAAACCTTGCACAGTTTACAGCATTTTTTTCACATGCTAAGATCTGTTCTTTGTTCACCTTTCTTAGATTTCACATCTCATAAATGCTTTCTAGAATTTCGCATTACCACTTTCTTAGATTCCATAGGTGTCTTAGGTATCCACTGGAAATACTATTAACTTTTTTTTATATCCCATTCTTTATACTCTTTCCATATTTAAGTCGACTGACATTTACCTTGTTTTCTGTTTGCAATGTTTTAGTTTATTTTTACATGGTATGGTTATATATTATGAGACTTTTACTGACACGTAAGATTAGATTGGGGACCTTTTATGGCATATATGATGTTTTTCTTATGTTTAAACTACATCACTGTCTTATGTTTAAATTACATCAGTTTGTTGTATGCATAGTGTTTAAACTATTTGAGAAGGAGATCTCAAAATGCAAGTGTTTCACTTGTAAGTGTATCACTTTCTTTATTCCTTGCTGAAACACTTCTGTTAAGTAAATGTGTTATTGTCGTTAATTGCATAATCTCAGCTTGAAGAGGCAAAGCTTTTGCGTAGCCAAGGACAACATGAGATGGCTATCAGCCTTGCAAAATACATTTCTCAAAATTATCAATCAAATGAAGAGTCTTCAGATGCGTACCGCTTGGTCGGGAAGTGGCTGGCAGAAACTAGATCTAGCAAGTTATATCTCACTTTTGCATAATTAATGGTTTTATTTTTAACTCTGCCAACAAAATGCTGATATTTTTCTGTTTTCTGTTTTTTGAATACTATGTGATGAAACTTCAGCTCAAGAACTATTCTTGAGAAGTATTTAAAACCTGCAGTATCATTTGCTGAGAATGAGAGAACTATGAACAAGAAGTCCATCGAAAGGCAGGGTCAAGCTCATTTTCATCTTGCACATTATGCAGATGCTCTTTTTAGGAGTTATGAGGAAAGGCTCACCTCCAGTGAATGGCATGCGGCAACACGTTTAAGGAAACACAAGGTAATCACTCCAGAACTTTGCCTGAAATTACGTTGTATTCATAGGTCTGATACCTGGAATAATTAATTGTTCGTAGACAATGGAGTTGGAAGCACTTGTTAAACGGCTAAAAAGTTCAAAGGTACGGTCCAGTCCATAATCGTTTTCCTTTTTGGTTATTCCTCGCAACAAGGCACCACAATGATTTAAGTTTTTCAATGCCCCCTATGCTAACAGGTCAATTGTAGCATAACATTCATTCATCAAGTATAATTACCATTATGATCACAAATATGCAGGACATAAGCCAGTTAGCAGTTACCAAAGTATTATAACTACAAAACCATCCACAAAATACCTCTTCCTGAAAAAATAGTAGTATAGTTATTATTATTATCTTCACAAATATGCATACAACCAACCTTGTGTAATATCCCACATAGTATATATTATGCCCACTCATGTCCATTATATTTCTTAAACCTCACTTACAAATTAAACTATTCTATATCATAGATTGCCACATAAACTGAGATTACAAACCCTTTAAATTGTCTGAGGACATATAGATCCTCAACTGCCGAGACAACCAACATTGCACCAGATAAACTAAGATTCCACATTAGTAAACTTAAGCGGATCAATAAGTACATACAACTCGTATACGCGTAATAATGGATAGCAATTCCAAATAATTATGATAATTCATGGCAATTATTGTCATTATTATGGGCTTTAGGTCTCTTAAATCTGGGCGTTACAGCTTTTATTAGTTGTTTCTCCATTGTAAAAGGTGGTGCTTTTTGTTTTTCTTTGTTTTTGTTTTTTTAATACTCCTATTTATTTGTAGGGGGATAAGACAGACTATTCGATTAAAATACAAGAATTGCAAAAGCAACTTGCAATGGACAAGGAAGAGGCTGAAAAACTGCAGGTATGTCATGAGGGGTGAAAGATGATTTAGGCATCCTTCTAATAAGATTTTTTCTTCTTTATTTTATTATTTTTTTGTGTCTTTCCCTGGAAAAAAACATGTCTTGATTTAGGCATGTTTCATTTTCTATATTGATACCATAGGTTGACCTCCAGCCTCTTTCTTTCCTTCTTGCGTTAAGATTAAGATCATAAAAACAATTAAAAGAAATTTGACTCGAGCTTTTTTTTCAGGATGACAGGGACAACTTTCTCAGCCTAGCATTGGAGGGATATAAACGTTGTTTGGTTGTTAGTGACAAATATGATGTTAAACTGGTATATACTTCCGCCTATGATTTTATTTTTGCCACGGCTTTGTTATGAATACAAGTTTCCTCTCAAAGCTGGTCCGAGACCTATCGCTTGTCATCATCCATCATATTTTTTTTTTTTTTTTTTTTCCGTTTTTTTTTTTTTTTTTTTTTTTTTTTTTTTGACTGAAGTCACTTTGAGAAACTAACTGATGTAATTTCAGATGTTTAGATTAGTTTCCTTGTGGTTCAATCTATCTCACAGACAAGATATTGTGACTAACATGCTTGCCACTAGTAATGAGGTACATGAAAAGTTACAGATTTAGCTGGTTATAAAGCTTTTTAAGTATTACAGTATGGATTCCTAATTTTTTTTTTTTTTTTTAAATGTATTTCAGGTTCAGTCATTCAAATTTATTCCTCTAGTCTACCAAATTGCTTCACGAATGGGTAGCTCAAAGGATAGCCCAGGGCCTCAGAGTTTCCAGGTTATGAACGGCCCTTTTTTCTTTTTATTTCTTCTCTTTTGTTCTTTCATGCAATTTTTTGCAGTGTCGGGATTTGTTTTAATTCAAATTTTGGATTTCTGCAGTTTGCATTGGTTTCTCTTTTGAAGAAAATGGCCATCGACCATCCATATCATACAACCTTTCAGGTACTGGTTTTTATTTGCTTGGTAGTCGTAGCTAGAGTTTCTTCTGGATGCATATGCTTCTGGCTTCCGTTTGACGGTTAAATTTAATGTGGAAAAGAGCCGCACATGTATGTTCAATTGCTCTTTTTTTTTTTTGGTCGGTATCCGACAATAGCTTCTCGCTCTTGCAAATGGTGATCGTATTAAGGACAAGCAACGGAGTAGAAACTCATTTGTGGCGGATATGGATAAAAAGCTTGCGGCAGAGAATCTTTTAGAAGAGCTATCTGCATATCATGGTCCTACTATTAGACAGGTAACTTGGATTATTGTCCCTCGTTCAGTAGTTGTTCCCTTTTATTTGTTTTTATATCTAAATGAAGTAATGATTTGTTTTTTCCCTCATTCAGTAGTTTGTTTCCTTCTATTCGTTTTGCATGCTTTTAATTATATCTATTTATAATTCATATGTGGATATAGATGAAACAAATGGTGGAGATCTATATCAGACTTGCTGAACTAGAGACAAGAAGAGAGGTTAGTGAAATAGAAATGAGGTGGATATTTCTTTGTCTGGTTTTCATATTTCGATTCTTCATTATGGTTATCAAAATAGAAAATTCTTGTTGAATAACAATTTATCATGAAAGAGGTGCAAGGTTTATGCTTTGACTTGATTTTGTCAACAGGATACCAATAAAAGAGTTATGCTACCCAGAGATCTACGTAATCTTCGACCGTTGGAACTTGTAAGTACTGCATTACTATGGGAAAATTTTGAATTTTGAATTTTCCTTAACTAAACTGGAATCTGAAAAATATGTTCCTACGAGGAAGAAAAGGGTGAGGCCTTTCTATGCAACTGATAATTAATATACGAAGTAATTACAAGTTTATGGATATCATGCTTGACAGAGAACTAGTTTTCCTTTTTTTTTTTTTTCTCTCTTTTTCTTTTTCTTTCTATTTTTATTTTTATTTTTATTTTATTTTATTTTTTGCTGCGGAACTAGTTTTTGTTTATGAGAAGGCAAAATTTGCTTCCTTGTGAGCATCAATGGATAAAGAATTATTCTTTTTCATTGTTTGTTATGAATTGGAAAGATGTTATGGGGCCATAGGGGTTTGTAAGGGTCTCTGGTGACTCTGTTTTGTTTTGTTTTGGAGGATACCTTATTCTCTTCCTTGTAATTAATTATAGATCAATTGGATGAGAGAGAGGGGGAGAGAGAGATAGTTTAGGGCATTCAATTGGATGTGATTGTGCTTTACTAGACAAATTTAGGGCATTCAGTTGGATGTGATTGTGCTCTACTAGACAAAATATGAAAATTTAAATCAGAAGCCCTTTTGATAATGTTTTTCAGAAACAGATTATCATGACACTTCTCAGAGAAAATTGCACTTTTATCCCTTAAACTGTAGCGCATCATTGTCATCTCAATACATATTTGCAATTGATACCAAACAGAAATCTCTCCTAGTTAATGAATTCCATAAGTTCTGTTCCTTTTTTTTTTCTCCTATTAGATCTGAACTGGAAGGGTGTGAGTTAGTAATTTGTTGTTTATGTGCTTTAGTCTTGTTTTTACGTAGTCCTGTTGTTTTTATATGCTTCAACTCTTTTAGTACCAATCGTTTTCCCCTTTTAGTGCTTTTGTTTTTCCTTCTTTTGTCCAGTTGTAGAAATACTAGTTACTAAATCATTTACTTCCGTGTGGAAACTTCAGGTGCCTGTAGTCACAGCTACCTTTCCAGTTGACCGCAGTTGTCAATATCATGATGGCTCTTTCCCATACTTTAAAGGATTGGGAGATTCAGTTTTGTATGTCTCAAACATTTGCTGTTTCACATTCAGTTTATTTTTTATTCTTCTCATGGCCATATTTGATGAAAACTTGTAACTTATGTCGGATAACTGCAGAGTAATGAATGGTATAAACGCTCCAAAGGTCGTTGAATGCTTGGGTTCTGATGGACACACATACAAGCAACTGGCAAAATCTGGAAATGACGACCTAAGGCAAGATGCTGTAAGATCTGATTTGCACATCTTGTGTTCTATCTTGGAATCTAGTAACGTAGTTTTAAGAATATTCCCCATTAATCTTCCTGTTTTCACCAACCTTGAGAACAATCCACCCTGAAATTCCTTTTCTGCTAGTTTTAATGTTACCTTTAAATCATTTATTGTGGACATCTGATGTAGGAGTAGATTCTGTGTATTTGTGATCAACTCATCGAATGTAGCACATTTAAAGCATTTATTCTTCTAGTTTTATTTGCTTTGTTATGGTTATTGTTAGTAATACCCCCTGCTGGGAAATTCTGTGTGCTCTTTGAAATAAATGCTTAAAAGTAGAGTACCCATATTATGGATGGTACTGATTAAATTCCTTTTGAATGGTTTTACAGGTAATGGAACAATTTTTTGGTTTAGTCAACACCTTTTTACAAAACCATAGGGATACGCGGAAGAGAAGATTAGGCGTACGGACGTACAAGGTATATTATTCTCTTGTAGTGAAGCCAATGAGCTTCACTTTCAACACAGTTGAGATGCGATTTGATGCATAGAGGAAAATTGGGCTTTTGTAGTTTGGGCAGTGGTTCTCATAGAACCAGGAGTTTTGTTCCTTCCAGATTTCCATTTGAGAAAAATTTGGCTACATTGTAGGTTGCGACCATTGTTCAAATGTTTTAAAGAATGAAAGCTGGCATGTTTTTTGTTTTGGTGCAATAATGGTAACCATTTCGAAATATTGGAGTAAACTAGAAGTTAACTATAATATGGCAAACATTGCTTGGTGAACACAGTTAATGCTTTGCCTTCAGTTGGCAATGTATATATTGAGTTAGAGAAAGTAACAAACTGACAATGTTTATTTTGCAATTTGAATGGTGTTTAAGAATGCCAAATGAGGAACTTGTGAATTGTTTGTAAGAATGCTTAATGAGAAAGCTCACTCCTATGATGATCACTCACTAATTTATTCTAAATAATTGTATGGCTTCACTAAAATCTTCTGAAGACTTTATGGCTCAATCGAATTCTTTTTTTTTTTTTTTTGTTCTACTAATGGAATTCTAGGAAATTTGAGAAAGAGGATCCTTGTTATTGACTCTTTTACATATTGAAATCCTTTTATGATCTAGGTTGTTCCTTTTACTCCGAGTGCTGGTGTTCTTGAATGGGTCAATGGAACTCTTCCTCTTAGCGATTACCTTATAGGGAGGTAAGATACACAATATTATAGCTTTGTTTTGAAGAGGCTTGAATAATACAACTCTCTTATGTTACTCAATTTTCAGCCTGAGGAATGGAGGGGCCCATGGTCGATATGGAACAGGGGACTGGTCATTTCTCAGATGCCGGGAACACATGGCAAATGCAAGTATCGTTTACATTTTTTCTTCATAACAATGTGATAGTAGTTCCTTTTATGTATTATCTACATATTATTCATTTCTTCCTTTTCTAAATTAAAAGTAACTTAAAAAGAGTAGTAAAAGTCCATAATGCCTTTTTTTTTTTTTTTTCAATGTTTATCTTTACATTCTTTTTTCTTTCAATACTTTATCGACTTGGTATAGATCTATACATGGTATAGAAGTTGAGATATTTAGATTATTTTGCATCTGTATATATAATCACTCCAAACATTTGGTATTAATCTGGAGAAGAACCAACTGGTATTTGCTTTTATGTTTCGACAGGCAAAAGACAAGCGCAAGGCTTTTCATCAAGTTTGTCAGAAATTCAGGTTTATCTTGCTTCTCAGTGTAGCAAATTCTAGTTTCCAAAATCTATTCTTTGAAATATAAAATAACACGGACCTTATACAGGCCTGTCATGCATCACTTTTTCTTGGAGAGGTTTTTACAACCAGCCGACTGGTTTGAAAAGAGGCTTGCATACACACGAAACGTGGCAGCTAGTTCAATGGTCAGTGTTTTATATTATTTATGAGACGTTGGACTAGAATGTTTTCTTTTAACGTGAGACTTAAGCATGCATGGCCATTGTTACAAACCTATTTGGTAGAACTCACCCTTGCAAAAATTGCAACCCACTATTTGTCTTATAATCATTCCATGTGGGACTTTTGGTATCTTAACATTTCACCATGTTCCGCAACCGCCATCCATGGCAGCCCATCTTCCCAGCTAGGTGGCTTCGTGGATCCCGCCTTCTATCGGGTAGCAGCCCTCCCTAGGTTGCACTATCTGTAGGCAACAGCTACATAACCGCAACCCATACTATGTCCATCCCATACTTGACATGGTTGTTTTGTAACATTCCACCATGCCTGGGCCCAAATTAATGGTAGTCCACATTATCGACACTAACTCGGCAGTAGCCCTTTCCTCGCCGGCAGCTTCACTGGACTATCATTATTAGACGCTTTGACGGCCTCACTGATGCATCTTGATTCAGTCTATAATGCAACTGCTTTGACTCGAACCCGCGGCGTGGTGGCTTGGGTATGATACCACTTTTTACAAAACCCATTAGTTGGAACTCACCCTTGCAAAACCGGCTTGCAAGGGGAGGGAACCCAAGGGTTTAATAAACCCACTATTTGTCTTATAATCATTTCATATGGGACTTTTGGTATCTAACAGCCATCATCTGGCACATGCTGTAATTTTTTGTTTAAAGTTGTTTCCTTGCGTATGACTGCATTATCCTAAAGAATGCATGTATATGTTGCAGTAAAATAAATGGATGCGTATAACTAGAGGTAATCTTGTTTTTCTGTTCAAGGTGCTTGCTAATGGTTCTGTTAGGGTTGTCAAAACAAAGACTACTAGAAAGCGTTATTCATAAAAGTAAGCCATCTCCAACAAACGTAGTGTTCGGCTCAAATGTGGTGGTCTTGGGCCAAAATCTATTTTATTTTTCCCCATTTTTCTTCTTCATAACAAATCCCTGTTGCACTTTTACCTTAATTTCACATCCTGCCTTCTCAAAACATCACTCTTTTCAATGGCAATGCAATAGATCAAAGGATGACTATAGTTTTCATGTGTAAATTATCCTGATGCAATTTTTCTCAAATTCAGGTTGGTTATATTGTTGGACTTGGAGATCGGCATTCTATGAATATCTTAATTGATCAAGCCACGGCAGAAGTTGTTCACATAGATCTTGGTGTTGCCTTTGAACAAGGCTTGATGCTCAAGACACCAGAGCGGGTTTGTACTTATTTTATCATTTCTTTGTTCCCTTTTTGATAGCTTTTATTCTTTTAAGCATTGGGCTTTTCCAGTTTAACTTGGCTCACTTGGTCATCTTATCCTCCAATTTTTTCAGGTTCCGTTCAGGCTTACAAGAGATATCATTGATGGCATGGGTGTTACCGGAGTGGAAGGAGTTTTCAGAAGATGTTGCGAGGAAACACTCTCTGTCATGAGGACAAATAAGGAAGCACTTCTCACCATTGTTGAAGTATGTTACCCAATGGAATTACATTAACAAAAATTAAGACCGTTTCTTTTTATTTTTATTTTATTTTTTATTTTTATCTAATGGGAATCCTATGTAGGTTTTTATACATGATCCGTTGTACAAGTGGGCTTTATCTCCTCTGAAGGCTTTGCAGCGTCAAAAGGTTTTTCTTTTTCGCCAAGTTTTCTCTAGATATACAAGTATACACGTGTAATCTGAATCTATCACGCCAATGGTGCGTCCCCAAGTAGAGAAAGGTGGGGTCGTCGGGGTGTGTATTTTACAAATTTGTCATGGCAAAGAAATTTCAACAAAACGACTACTTAAAATCATGCAATCATATTTCAAGAGAAAAGGAAATACAAGCGGATAAGTTTTTAACAAACAATTTTTCCCTGTTGTTCCCCTCCCCACAAGATTAACATAATCGAAAATTGATAGGTGGAGTGGTGTAGAAATCTGTCTGACCTATTCAGTTGAATTTGACTAGGCAATAATGCAATAGAATGTATCAACCATCAATTGCCTATGCTAAATGAGTTTTATCCTTTACAAGGAAACGGATGATGATCCCGAGACAAGCTTGGAAGACTCGCAAGACGATTATGAAGGGAACAAGGACGCGGCACGCGCGCTAATGCGAGTCAAACAGAAACTGGATGGCTATGAAGAAGGTGAAATGCGAAGCGTGCATGGCCAGGTGACTTTCCTCCTCCATTGTCTTGTGGCTTGTTAGAATACTATTATTCTTTGTTGTGGTTGAATAAAATGTATGAAAACCCACTTTAGTTTTGGTTTCTTTTTTCTCTTTTGGCGCGTGTTTTCCTTGTGGTATTGTTGCTATTTAATCCTCCTACGAGAGGGTGACCTTTGGAAGGTTTGTCCCTCAGTAAAACAGGACAGAACTGTTAGCTTCTCCATTCCTTTCTTTTGTTTTGTTTTTTTTTTTTTTAAAAGAGATTTATTACCCTTTTTTAATATTTGACGCAAGTAAAAAATAAAAAGGCATATTCATCAAATGAATAAATAAAAAGGTATATGTGAAAGTGACCTTTTTAGCTACTTTTTAGTAAACAACCAAAGTTTTATAAAATTAGGGAAATGGTCATGATTATTACTGTAAAAAAAAAAAAAAAAAAAAAAATTAAAAAAAAGTTAAACCGGTGGCCAAAATCGGCCATCCACCTAATTTTCTCAAATAAAATAATCTGAAAATTTTCTTGCAGGTGCAACAACTAATACAAGATGCTATTGATCCTGAGCGCCTCTGTCAAATGTTTCCTGGATGGGGTGCCTGGTTGTGAACCGTGATGGATTTGTATATTCTCTCATCATATCTCAGCCCCAGAAGCACCAGTTTTGTACTGTACATGCGGCCTTTTCATTTTGTTCAATTTCTTTTTTTTGCCCTTTTATAATCCGAGCCTCTGCATTTGGTGGTGCTGGTACGTGTATTATTGATTTTCATTCCCATCCCGGCTTCCTCCATTGGAATTTTTGTGTAGAAAATTTTGAGCATTTGTTTTTCTTCGTTCTTTGTATTTTGGTTGATTTATTATTGATTTTGTTTACGTATTATTATTATTATTAATCATTGGTTAAGTTATAATTAAGCCAGTGGTTTACTTTAATTCCTTAACTCGATAGTAAAATTTGTGTTTTGAAGACCTATAATAATATGTTAAATCGTTGACTTATGCAATTAAATCAACAATTTTTTTTTCTTTTTGTTTAATCTTTAAAGGGGAAAAAAGTGTTAACAACAAGTAGATAAATAGATATTTGTTTAAACCAGGAGTTCTCTTGGTAACTATAAAACTAATGTGTTATTTAAAAGACTCACGCACAAATTTTTTTTTCTTTTTGTTTAATCTTTAAGGGGAAAAAAGTGTTAACCACAAGTAGATAAATAGTAAATATTTGTTTAAACCAGGAGTTCTCTTAGTAACTATAAAACTAATGTGTTATTTAAACGACTCACGTTATCTCAGGAAAGCATATAAAGCTGGAAAAAAGGGACTTTCTGATGGGTTTTTTTTTTTTTGGGTATTGGTAATTTCTAATTATTAAATTTAATTAAAATTATATTAGATTAAAAAAATATATAGAATAAATAATTTTTAATAGATCGACTGAAAGTAGAGAATTATCCGTTGTTAATTTTTTTCAAATCTTACTAGTGAAGTTATCAAACAAAAAAAATGAATAACTTTTACCGCTCAACATATACTTGTGAATAATGTCGATTTCCCGTCCCATCTCACCCTTCCAAATTGAACAACATGGTACGATCACTGTCTATTAATCATCATAAAAGATGTGTTTATTTGCACAATTTAAGTTATGATTTTAGTAGTGTATGTGAGAAAAAAATATTGTAAAAAAAATTAAATTTAAATTTATGTGTGAGAAAACACTGTAGTAATATAATTTGAGTCATGACTTAAGTTGCGTAAAAGAACACACTCTATCTTTTTGGCTTCTTTCTTTCTTTCTTTCTTTCTTTCTTTTTTAATTTAGGAAATTTTTTGGTATGCTTGGCATACCGGTAGGTTATGTTTTTTTAACTGTTCGATTTGCATACTTTTTGATTTTTATGTGATTTTATGCAAATTTGAAGAACAAAAAACTTGACGTACCAGTATGTTGGTGTACCGAAGGTCATTTATAATTTTCCTTCTTTTCCTTTTCTTCTTTCTTTTTTTTTTTTTTTTTTTTTTTTTTACATTCTCAACTCTTTTTACCTTATTATATATATATATATATTTGAAAAAATCGTGGTTCCCTAATAAAACGTTACATTAGTTATACTTTTCTCATTAGTTTCCTATTTAAATAATTTCTTCTCGTACATATTACTGTCTAATTTTTAATAAAAAAAATCATGTTTTCCTTATAAAACGTTTCATAAGCAAGTTTTTTTTTTTTTAAAAAAAAAATCGTTCCTTTTCCTTGTCTCTTTTCATTTTTTTGTCTCCCTTTTTTTTCATTTTTTTTTTCATTTTTATCCTATTATACTTTTTTTTTATTTCTCTAAATGAGACCTTAATAAAGATGTTTTTCATTCTTACTTACAGAATCTCACGTGCACACGAGTGCGGTTTCCACTAGTATAATAAAAAGGGAGAAAGAGGAAAATATGCCAAGATTTGAGATGAATTAAAATTAATAGGACAATAGTTTACATAAGTTAATAAATAGGCCAAATTAAGATATATTCAGATTTATCTATACATAAATTCCAAAACTGCCATTTTCACTCAAAAATCCCTAACGCCTCTCTCTCTCAGCTCTCTCTCTCACCGACCTCCGCTCTCTCTCTCTCTCTCTTCCCTCTGTTGCTCTCCCGCGAGTGTTTCTTCCCTCCGCCGCTCTCCCACGATCACTCTCTCTTCCCTCCGGCGCTCTCCGGCGAACTGTTTCTTCCCTCCGCCACTCTCATACGATCACTTTCTCTTCCCTCCGGCCCTATAACACGATCTGTCTCTATTCCCTCTGAATCTCTCTCTCTCTCATCCCTTCACCAATCCCAGAAGCTTGTCCGCCACCGATTCTCTCTCTTAGGTCCGCTGGTATCGTTAGACGAGAAATTGAAGAACATGGAAGGTAACATAAGAACAAGGTAAATCCGTTAATCACTAGCCGGAAAACCACGAATTCATTTGAGTATGTTAATATTGATTTTCTTGAATTGAGATTTTGAATGAAAAGATTATGTAATTGGAAACCTATACCTATCGTATAGTAAGCATGTTGAATAAATTTATGGCTTCAAAAATCAAGTTATGGTCAGGTTATGATCATAACATGTCGAGTTATGTCATCTCTTGAATCTAAAAATTACAAGTGCAGGTCAGATTATTCAAATTGTCGAAAATAAATCACTGTCAAGTTATGGTTTTTTTGAGAGAAATAAATGACAATGAAGTTCAAAGTGAAATGCCACCAGCAACATCAAGAAAACTGGACAAGATGGAAATTGATCTAACTAATATGCTTAACAAAGTACAACATTTTGAAGCCAACCAAGCAGCCATGAAAGAGGATCTGAAAGAAATAAAGGCAATGGTTGTGAATTCTGTGGACATTATGAGAACCATTCAAAAAGATGTGCTTCTGTTTCTCAAAGAAATACAAAACAATCCACTCACAGACTCTGAGGTAATGAAACAACGTAAAATAATGTTGATTTTGTTTTTGCAATGTTTCCTTAATGATATACTAATTTGTACCTCAATGAACAGGAAGACAGAGAAAAAGAATTATCTGCAGAGCTAGGAGAACATGAGGGAGAATTCGGTTATACTCCATTCACAGACTCGTTTGATATCAGTCAACAAACATTAGAGAGAACATTTGAAGAAGCTGAAAAGATAATAGCAATGAGAAAAGCTGCTGCTCAAGGAATCAAAAAGATATGAATCTTTTTAATACTACTTGGGAAAAAGGAAAAAAAAAAAAAACAAACCCACATTAATACTAATAAAAAACTTATTATTGCAGGAACAAGATTATGAAGAAACAGAAAATGAGGAAGAAGAAAAATCAATGAAGAGAAACAAAAGAAAAAGTGCAAAGGAACAGAGGGAAAAAATGGAAGAGCTTGGCATTCCTTCATTCATCCTCTTCACCCAAAGTTCTAACGACCCAGACTCGTAAAATGGGATGATATTAGAATACAGCCTTTTGGATGATATGACTACTGTTTCTAAAGACTAGTCTTATATTTTAAATGATGACTTGAGATTTACCCTAATTCTTACAATCTTTTGAAATGTTAATATTCATTGACAAGACTTTTAGATTATGTTTGAGATTGTTCCTTGAATAAAATAGAATGTAAACATAGGATTTATCAATTTCATGCTGTTGAATCTGAAAATTACAAGTGCAGCTGCACTATCAAGTTATGGTCAGGTAATGATGATCGAATTATGATCATAATCTTTTGACTTGTTCAGGTTATCTTCAAGTTATGCTAATCACATGTCAAGTTATGTTGCATAACTGGACAAGTTATGTAAAAACATGTCAAATTTGCACCATAACCCGTCAAATTATGATACATATCCGGACGAGTTATGAAAAAATTTATATAAAAACATGTCAAATTTGATAAGTTATGCTACATAACTGGACAAGTTATGCTGCATAACCAGACAAGTTATATAAAACCATGTCAAATTTGACAAGTTATGCTGCATAACCAGACAAGTTATATAAAACCATGTCAAATTTGACAAGTTATGCTGCATAACCAGACAAGTTATATAAAAACATGTCAAATTTGACAAGTTATACTGTATAATCAGACAAGTTATGCTGCATAACTGGACGAGTTATATAAAAACATGTCAAATTTGCACCATAACCCGTCAAATTATGATACATATCCGGACGAGTTATGAAAAAATTTTCAATAATGGACCATAAACAGTCAACTTATGGTGTATAACCGTACAAGTTGTGGACAAAAACTCTGAATTAGGTCTATAACTTGTCATAACTAGGCAAGTTATGGACGAGAATTACATGTAAAAATATGCAAAATAACTTGAAACTTGTTTACTAATTAAAATTAAAAACCAATATAATCTGTATCAAAACTAGAAATAAAACACGAATCTGAAAACCAACAAGTTAATCTATATAATCATCCAAGTCGCACTCAATGGCATTTGTTGGCGTCATAAAATTCATTTTTGGGGCATTTGGAACCCTGTTATCATCACTTTCATATCCCAATTGCTGCTTCCGCAAGGCATGCTTGAACAACTCAACTGCCATCTTCTTGCGGAACAATGTTCCAGCCCCTTCTTTTCTCAAACAATCATCAGATCTAGCTTCCATTAATATCTCAGCCATCTTGAGCATAAATATTCCACAATCACCACTACAAAAACAACCACAAAAAATCTAACAATTAGAAACAACAAATATAAATGCAAAAATGAATGAAGTAAAGGGAAAATAACAAAACATTTACAGAGGAAAAAAAAAAACTAACCCGTTCTCTTGTCTTGGACAATCGTCAAATATGATCTCAAAAGGTTCAAGACGATCAAATTGACTTGTGAAATACTTTTTTGTATGAGAATCAAAGTAGCCAACAGATTCCAGCAAGTGGGGGAAAATGACTGCCAAAGATTGCACAGAAGCACGGACTTGCTTCTCTATCCTCTTTGAAAAAAGAGAATCATATAACCTAATACAATGATCTTTGAACTCTACATAACCTAAAATCCAATGCTCCCTACGCTAAAGAAAAATAGGTACAAGAAGAATGTCCACCTCACAAAAAGGCAAGCTACAAAATAAATAATCTCCCAACACATAATCTTGAAGAGCACTATGTGAAGAGAAATCAAAACAAGACCAATCAAAATCCTTTTGGTTTTTAGAGCACCATAAGCTATTAATTCTCATGAAAAAATGTGAGTCCAAAACCAAACACCTAATGTATGGCCTGTTTTTGAATATGTGGCTACATCAACATGCTATCAAAATAAAA